GTGTTATCTGGAAGAGGTTGTGATTGGCTGAAAGGTTTTGAGTATGAAAGAGTCACCGAGGGCTGTTCCTGGACTAGGAGAGACTGGAGGAGGACAAGCAGTTGGACTTGCAGGAGAAAGAGCCTCTGCAGACTAGCAAGTGAAGAAGAGAACTCTGGAACTAACGCAGAGACATAGCAGAGAAGGAGGTACGGAGCTTACCTGATTGTAGTTCTTAAAGGCGCTTGCCGTAGACACGGCCATAAAATGTCAGTTGGAAGGAAAGAGACAGAAAGGGAAGTGTAAGAATAGCACATTGGAAAGACAGTTAGAAAGCTTGCATAACCCCTGGGCCCTTAGACTCATTATCCTTAGCCCTCTCGTCAGCACTAGGGCAAGGATAAACTTGTTATGTCCAGAAAAGCTCAGGCTAAGGACTTAGAGGGCAAGGCAGCCTAAAAGGTGTCAGGGACCTGGGTGTTGCCTCCCTGGCCAGTGTCCACAGTATGTCCTGTGAAGGTGAATGGAGTCCTCAGGGCCCAGCACAGTACTTCTGTCTCAGGAAGAAAGAGAAGCACAGCGTAGACGTGTGTTCCAGCAGTTTCTTGCAAGACCTTGTTCATATATCTATGCCCCCACTTAAATGAATACCCCTTCTATGCCTCCCTAGTTGTCAGATCAAACAGCTATATTTTCACTCCCCTCTTCTTGAAACTTCTTTCTTTATGTTTTAGGACAGGGGTCAGCACCACTGCCCATGAGCCAATCTGGCTACATTTTTTTCTTTTTTAAGACACGTGCCTGTGTCTGCGTGGTCTGCGTCTGCTGTCCTGCGGAGATTGAGGAGCTGTGACGGTGCTGTGACGTTGTCACGGCCTGCAGAGCTTGCCTGGACTCCCCGGCACTTTACTGGAACAGCTCCCCAACTCCTGTTCTGTGACATCACCCTTCCCCAGGGTTCGTCTTCCCCCTTGGATGCGACTGACCGATGGGGCTGTCAGAACATGTAAGAGTTAGGTCTAAGGGAAGCTTGTAAAAGTTGTGGTTAAAAGTAATCCTCTGAAGTACTGCTTGCCAGCTGTCTTGGGAAATAGTGCAAGACAACTCTTAATTTATTTTTAGAAACAGCTAACCTATTAAGTACAATGATCACGTATGGGCCCTTGACCAAGGAATTTGAAAGAATTGTGTAATGGAATTTTCCTGACCATCCCTTTGCAATGGGTTCTGTTTTCAGTTCCGTTATACAGATGAGGAAGTTGGAAAACAGAAAGGGTGGTCAAGCTTGCCGGAGATCACACAGCTGAGAAATGGCCCAGCGCCCAGGCCCCAAGCACCGTCCCAGCCTGCCTCCAGAGGGCACTGCGGCTCCAGAGCCGATATCAAATGGAGTCACAGCCATTTGTGAGTGAGCTCAGTCTTGGAGTGGTGCGTCTCCAAAGGTTAGCTTTGCAGTGGAGTGCAGAAGCCCATTATGAAGCAAGCAGAGCCTGGAGAAAAACACCCACCCAACCGTGACTCTGCAGAACAATCTTGTGACTTCCAGAGAGGACTTTCCGAACAGTGTGTTGCAATCCTGATGCAGCCGAGGCTGTTGACTCTGCTGGTCACATTGTCTGCTAGCAGGGGGTGGGAAGCAGGCGTCCACGGGATTACGTCAAAGAAAGGCAGGTTGGCTTTGGCACCTTGTGCTAATGTCAGTGTCCTCTATTAATGAGCCTTTGGCATTTCAAAAATAGAATCTTGCTAGAGGCATATAAAGCACATGTGCATAGACACAGGGTTTCTGTCCTGTTTCCCCTTCTGAATTTTGACCTTGCACTATGTTGGTGGGGGCTTGGGGTCTGCCTGGGTTAGAAGGGATTGACCCAGGGTGGGACCTCGCATGCGCATGGGAAGCAAGAAGGCAATTCAAACTGCGCATGCCGAGTGTCCTGCACAGCCTCAGGAAGCTCGCCCAGGTGTATATGTTGGCATGTAGTGGTGGCAGGGCACCAGAAGAAACTCAAGGGTGACAGCAAACAGTGCAGTCTCGCCAGGAACACTTCACATGTTGTAGGACAACACTTGGAGCAGTAACAGGAGCAGATGGGGAAGTCAATCGATCCTAAGGACCCGAAGCCAGGTGGTCGTGTGGTTGGAGGGAGCAGTGGTAGCAATTCTATGGGCAGGAAGTTCAACACCAGCATCCCAGAGAGGATGGTAGGACCCCTGACTGTGAAGGGCCACTTCAGGGCCTTCTGCCCCTGAGAAACCCCCAGGCGTTCTCTTTTCTGCGTTATAGTTGTAGCGCTCACTTTGGACAAGCAGCTCTGCAAGGTGGTACTTTTTATCTCATCATGTTGCTCCGTGATGCAAACCCGTATGCCTTGGAGTTATTAAAGCAGAGGAATGTCATTCTGGGATCGATCCATTCTGCAGATAATATACTAGCCTTTCAGGGCTTCTTCGGCCAAGAATTCTATTACAGTTCAAGCATGGAAGGATGGCTGGGGAAGAAATAAGGGCCCTCAAGGAAATTCGCTGTCTGGTGGGAGGAAGACAGATACGATGGTCTGTGACGCAGGGCAGACCACAGTGAGTACAGGGCCTACAAGAAGAGCGGGAGTGAGATTCAGTCTAGTTTCAGGAATTTGAGAACGCAATGCGTTTCTTTTTGTCCCGTTTCCTTCACTCTTTTCTTCCAGCGTTCTAAATGGGATGCTCCACCACTCCGCCTTCCCCTGGTGTGTGGACTGAGTGGAAGTCCTTCTAGTCTCCTGGTTTCCCGCTCTGTTCCCTTTGCCCTCCTCTCTTTTGTCCTCATGCTCGTGCCTTATCCCTCTGCGCCAGCAGCCACCCGCCTCCCACACTCTCCTCTGTCTGCTCCTGCCACCTTGCCCTGGTTGCTGAATTATCTTCAGACCCAACTCCGAGACAGGCCAACTCAAAGTTCCCAGCATTCCCAGCCAGAGTGCCCAAGTGTCCAGGACTTGTCACCTCTCTGCTTTTCCTGCAGTTGGCAGAGACTGCGGCCTTGGACTGGAATGGAGATCACCCAAGGGCATACTTTATGCTAATGGAATCTCTCGAAGGATAGGAACCGTGAACCTGCCCCCACCCTTCAAGGACTTCACAAAGCACATGCCACAGAGGGCCAGTGGGCACAGAGGAAGGCATGCGAGTGTGTTCCAGGTAGTTTCCAGCAACAGGAAGAGGGCACGGTGACAGCCGAGGCCAAGTGCACAGGCCAGTGCCAGTGTGGAGAGTGACACTTCTTTGGATAGGGACAACGAATCAAGGCAAATGTCAATGACCAGGGCCTTTTAGGTAGTTTTAGGGAATTAATCAGCAGGCTTACACGAGAAGGTCATGTCTGTAACCTGAGACGTGCTTTACTGGATTTGGCAGGCAGGGGCTGGCAGGTGTGAGGTGGGAGCCAGACTGAAGAGCTAGCTTCAGCTCCCAGTTCTGCAGCTAGCACAGTTGTTGATAGCAGGGGCCAGCCTGGCTGGCAGTCTGAACACCTACCACAGATTCCTTATTCCAGAGACTCTTGGCTTCCAGTTCTGCCAGGGATGCTGTGTGAATGGTTAGCCCGTAGGAAGTCAGAGAGGGAGGCCCAGTACTGGACAAGGAGTCAGGCCTACAGTGCGGCTCTTCTGCTAGTACTGGAGCATCATGCTCCCCGGCAGAGGCTGAAGGACGGTTCCCTAGCCCTCATCATGGGTGCGGCCCCCCTTCGCCTACCATCTTCGTTGCCCTTTTCATGAGAACTTCTGCGGACTTCTCCTGTGGAGGGGATTGTAGACTCCCAAGACTCCACTCTCTGACCTGGAGGCTGGCCAGTGCTGATGGGTTACTCGTGAGGGCTCCAGCCAGAGGACTACGGTTGGGACCTAATCTTGGACCCGTGGGGTGTTCCTTTGTCAGTCAAAGAGTGCTCTCCTGTGACCAGGAAGCCCGAGAGCTTGTCCTGCCTCTCTAGTGGGAAGGGAGTATCTGAGCTGCCTGGTGCTCTCAGCAGCCAGGCCCCTGCCCACACCGTCCTTTCCAGCCTTCCCCCATTCTCCCAGCTGTCATTTTTCTGGGGCTTTTCCTCCAGAGCCTCAAACTTGGCAGTAGTAGAACCACCTGGATGCTTCACAAAAAAAAAAGAAGTTCTTGGTCCCTGCTTCTCTGGCAAGGAGCACTAATGGAAATTCTCTTTAACTAGGTGTGCATGGGGCCTGGATCTCTCATTTTTGTTTGTCTGTCACTGAAAAGGTGCCCTGAGAGTGCAGTGGGTTAATAAGCCTTTGGCTGCTAACCCAAAAGTCAGTGGTTCCAACCCACCTAGTCTGGAGAAAGGTGAGGCTTTCTGCCCCTGTAAAGATTTACAGCCTCAGAGACTCTGAGCAGCAGGGCTCAGTGGCAGGGCTTTTGGGTTTTTTGTTTTTTTTTGGTATAAATTAAAAAGAAGAGAAACTGTTGGAAGGACGGGTGATGGGATGACCTTGTGACTGAGTCATTTAAATCCTTGTCCACTCATGCTTTTTGGGTTTTCTACAGTGAGGTCATAGAAAGTCTGCCTCATCGTCGACTCCAAATGCGTGAGGTCGACTCCAAATGCGTGAGCTCAGCACTGGGCTCTGGAGGTTTCTGTTTGTTTTATGGGGTTTGAGAGGAAGTGTACAGAGCCAATTAGTTTACCACTCAACAACTCATACACATCTGTTTCATAACAATTACAGTCCCCTCAGTGTAATACCATCCTTCTCTGAGTCCCCATTCCATTTACCCGTCTTCCCCCTAGATTTTTCAGTTGCTGATTTTTTTTTTGGGTAATAGATCACCAGGCCTTTTTTCTGAGGCACTTCTGAATGTTAACCATGTACACCACTGGGGGAAAGAGTAGATGTAATTAAAAAAGCAAAACCCAGATTAGGAAGATTTCATTTACTCTCAGAAAATATTGAACACACATACACACACACACACACACACACACACACACTCATATCAACCCCATTAATGTTTAAATGTGTTGTTCTTTTTCTCAGGGGGACTTGATCTCATCTTCATGCCAGGTCTTGGGTTTGACAAACGTGGCAACCGCTTGGGGAGGGGGAAGGGCTACTACGACACGTACCTGAAGCGCTGTCTGCAGCAGCAGGAAGTGAAGCCCTACACCATGGCCTTGGCTTTCAAAGAGCAGATGTGCCTCCAGGTCCCCGTGGATGACAACGACATGAAGGTAGATGAAGTGCTTTATGAAGACCCATCAGCATCTCCAGTCCAGATAACGGCAGCCAAATAATTCATGGTTTTTGTAGCAGAGAAAAACAAACCATCTGGAGTTTGCCCTGTCAAAATACGATTGAAATTGTAATCCTTGTGCTTTTGTACCAGAGAAAAACAAAATATACGTATATGCCTTGTCAAAAAAACAATTGAAATTATAATCCATGTTTTTGGTACCACAGAAAAACAAAATATATGTATTTTGCCTTGTCAAAAACATTTGAAATTACACACTAATGTGGATATGGCCAACATTTCTGAAAAGTGCACCGATAAAATATCCAACATAAAGTTGTCATTTAAACCAATGCAAGTGTGGGTGGTAGACTATTAATTAAAAGGGACTATATCACCATATGATTTACAACTAACTTCTTGGTGGGGATGTACATATTGATCTTTGTGCTCTGTAATTTAAGTTAAATATTTATGAGGCACTGTGGGCCAACTCATAGTGTGAGCAGAAGTTAAGCCCACTGGACACGACACTGAACCTCATGATGCCCCACCGTGGGCCTGGCCAGGCTCTGGCAGGCAGATGGAGCCTCGGCCATTACTAATTGATTGGTTGATGTTTGCTTTGAATACCGTTTCCCTGTGACTTCCTTTGTTCACCCTGAAATTTTATGTTGGACACTTTGTAGTTCCTGATAGTTAATTGACCGAAACCTTTTTAGGATTTAAATTACTTTCATCCAACTGTTCAGTTCCCAGCTCTATCCTTCCCAGTAGCCACTGAGGAGTGTAAGGTCTGATGCCCTGTAAGGTAGA